ATTATATATATATATATATATATATAACTAGTTTTATGTAATTTGAATTGTTTGAGAATCTATAAGTGTTTGTAGTTATCATAGGAAACCCTTGTTTATAGAGCAAAGTGAAGATTGATGTTAATTGCATGAATATATGAATTTGAGGTTAGATTTGAGTAATTGAGGGTATAATAGAGCAATATTAGGCTATAATATATGTTTTTACTTATTAGATTCAGAGAATAAAGTTTGGGTGTGAATTGTGCCTTGTTATGAGAACTCTAATATGAATATACCTTAATATTTATCTGATTTCTTTGCGTGTGATTAATAAAATTGAGTTTTGATTGTTGAGTTAGAAAGTAGATATTTGGGGCTATAGTTTAGACTCAAGAATTACATAAAAATGTTAAGGAATGACTGACTAACTAATGTAAGTTAAAAGATGAACCTCATATTTTGTGCACGAAATGTAACATGCGTACTTTGTAAGTCTTTCAAGTAGACTTACATGACATAATTAGGTTTTGTAATCTTCATAAAAGTTATAGCTTTGGATGTTATCTTTCATAATGATTCTGTCTTGAGGTATATGAGATGATGTTGTGCAACTGTTATATTTAAATCGTAAACATGTGTAATCGTTGTACTAATTAATATTAATAACTAGTTGTGGTATTTGAGCATGCTATAAATATGATTGCGAGCTATGTATGAGTTGTAGTGATGTGATTCCTTATGTAATTGAATGCTAATATTTAATTGATATATTTGAATTGTTAATAGTTATATTAAGATCAATTGACAATGAAATGATATGATGATAAGACATGTGATATGTGAATTAGTGAGATCATATGAATTGTTATGCATGGAGTCTGTTTGACATGCATCATATGCATGAAAATGTTTTTAAATGTACGATATGAAATACATTGCCAAAGAAGGTTCCTTGTGTAAAAACTTGGGAACCAACTTGGGGATAGCTTGGTTTGGAAGTCCTAGTCTCACTTTTTGTGTGCATGGAGTGTATCTTGCGCGACTCAACTATTCCAACCAAAACCTAGTAGTATATCCTCCTAGTAAAAGTGTGTTGAAGGTGTGACCTAGCATGTACTCCTAGGCTACTTAATAATATATAAGTGTGATATGTGATGATTTTACTAGTACCACATGCATGATAAGATGTTCATAGTCCGTGTTCATTGCATAATACATCTTAATGTTATGTGGTATTTAATTATTATGTCATGAAAGGGTGAAATGAGTTATTATTACCAATCTTTCTATGTTGTGTGTGTGTGTATTTGTGTGTATATATATATGTGTGTGTGTGTGTGTGTGTGTATGTCTTATTTGTGTTTGCCTATCGGACAACATCTTACATCGTGAGTCAAAGTGAGATATTTCTCAATCCCTTTGATTTGTATTTGTCTCTATTGTATATTCTTGCAGGTGATTTACATCATGATGTTGAGGATGTTGTTGGTGAGGCCTAGTTCTTATAGTTGGGATTATGCTTTGTTAGGATGTAACATCGGGACTAAGTTAGGGATTATCTTTTTTTGTCATGTTTTGAAATAATTATTGGTTTTCTTGTAATAGATTTTATTGGAATTTTAGTTGATTTTGTTTTGTTGAAAATGTGATACCTTCTATGTTGAACACATTAAATTTTATTTATAAAAGACTTTTCTATTTAGCTTTAATGATTTGTGTGTTATGATATACGGGGTAGATGGTGTCAGTGATATTTAAGGAACTAAAATTATTTTGGAAACTAAAATCACATAATTGTGATACTTGATAGACTAAGATTGCTTGATTAGAACTTTAGAAACCAAAATTACACAATTGTAATATTAGAGGAATAAAAACACAATTAAGCCTAAACTACATTTTGCATTAAACTTTCGATTTCTAAGAATGTCTTATTTTTTTCATAATATAAATTAAAATTTATTAGAGTAAAAGATCAAGTCATTTCTCATTTAAATGAAGAAGAAGCAAAAGCAATAATAGATGAAGGAAGAAATCCTTGAAGCTTTAACAATCACTTACTCAAAAAGGACTATATATAGTAGAGGATACTCAAAGAGAGAACACAACTAAACCATTAAAATCACTTTTATATAATCTCTATGTTTTGCACACTGTTTTTAATATTTGTTTTTGATAGAATAATTTATTCTCTTATTTGTCATTCTTATTTGCTAGGAAGCCTACAAATGATTATTGTAAAATAATACTTGAATTGTTTAAAGCCTAGAGAGACTTTGTATGAAAGAAAACTTTCGTTTTGTTTTTGTTGAGAAAGGAATGACTTAATAAAAATACTTGTAAATAAAGCTAAAGCAATGGAACTTCTCTATTGTTCAAGAATTGGACATAATCTTAGTGGTAGAGACAAACTAGTATAAATCCTTGGTGTTGACCTCTTTAAGTTTTATGTGTTTGCTTGATATTGTTTGTCCATTATCTCTCACTTTCATCTATTGAGAAGTTTTAGTTTGTTAAAAGTTTAAGATAATATTCAATTCCCCTTCTAGTATTACTTTCTCCTAATAGTTTGACGTTGTTGAAGAGTAAAGTGAAGACACAAATAATAAAAAAGTAAGAAAAATAGATTAATTTCATTAAGCAAAGACAAGAAAAGCTTTCACATTAATCTACATGTGAAGTTTGGTTACAAAGCTTTGACTAGATTTCTACCTCCAAATAATTATAAAGTTCCTAAAGAGAGGTATGTTAAACTTTAGAATAAAAAGAAAAGTTCAACTAAGTTTTAACATTTTCGACATCAATAGCAACATCAATAATAACAACAATGGAGGTTCTTGTAGTTGATTCTTCCATTTCCCCTGAAGAGTTTTGACTTATCTATGATCTCATTATTTTTCACATTTTTGAGGATGTGGAAAAGTGACAAGTCATCACTAAGACAAAATGACATGAACCTACTTCAAAGCCTTGTAAAATCATGCATTGTGCTTTGCCATAATTTTTTGCTTAGTCGAGTCAAGGTTATGAGTTACAATTGGATTAAGCGCTTACCATTAGGGCAAAAGTTATAGCTAATAGTCAAGGTGTAACTCTTTTTACTTAATTGTAGTAGCTTAAGCGTCATATGTTGATTGTGACTTGATTCACATAGGCCTCCACCATGAGACAATTGATGTCACCTAATAAACAATATCCCCTTACCAATTGCACCTGCTAAGAATCAAGCATGCAACCTTGACTTTAATATTAATTGTTAGATTGAATGTTTATCACTAGACCAAAAGCTACAACTAATAGTTGGAACATAACCTTTCCCACTTAATTGTAACAATCCAAATGCCACATGTCGACTGTGACTTGACTCGCCTAAGCCACATGTCGACTATAGCAATCCAAAATACTTTCATTAAATGCATTTTTTTGAGTTCAAGTGAAATTCATTCAATTGATGTCTCTTAAAATACAAATACTCACATTTTTTAATGCAAAAACTTTGAAAATATTGATTACTCACTCCCTTTAATCAATAATTTAGGGTTATGTTTCAAAAGAAATATAAATTTAACATATTTATTAATTTTAACTAATTTTTTTTAATCTTGGTGAGTTAATTATTTAGGTCCTATAATAATAACTAGAGGTAGTATAATACTATATAATTTCTTATATATAAGAAATAAATTAGTATTATTTTGGTTTTAATTATAAGAAGCATATAGACTAAATTGTACTTTTGGTCTCTATTTTTATCAATTTGTAATTTTGATCCCTTTATTTTAAAATAGAGACATCTAGTCCTTCTATTTTTAAAAGTATGGGATTTTCATTTTATTGTTAATTTAATATTTATTAATCGTTAAATTTTAACGTTGTTTAGTGACTTGTTACCATTTAAGTGATTTAATATTTAATGATACCATGTAAGGATAAAAATTAAAAAATATATACAAAAAATTTCATATATGTATTTATATTAAATAATGATTAGTAGTTATTTTATTAATAAATCTTTTTTTTATGATGATTTTTTAAAAATTTTATATCCAAATTTCATATTACTAAATGTCACATCACTTATTAAGTATGAGTCAGCATTAAAACTTAATGATTATCTAATTTTAATTTGACAGGAGAACCAAAATTTATGTTACTAAATTTTTTATATTCAAATTTCATGTTATTAAATGTCACAATAATTAAGCATGAGAAAATGTTAGAATTTGATAATTAACTTTTTAATTTGATAGGAGGAATAAATATCTCAATTTAAAAATAAAAAAACCAAAATTATGGACCAATAAAAATAAGGAGACCAAAAGTACAATTTAACCAAACATATATTTACTTTTTAAATTTAATAATTAGCATGATGTAAAATAATGTATTAATTAGCAATTTTCCTTTATAACCTTAATTCATTATGAGTCTATTAATGAATCATTCACTCATGTTTCATAAAAGTAGATGTATTTATTGGGTTATTAACACAATACTCCCTTTGCACTTGTATATAAGAAGAAAAAAAAAACTGAACTTTTTTAGATTCAAATATAATTAAATTTCAACTAAGTCAGTTTTATTTAATATTTCTTATAATTTAGATTATTTAATTTTGAGTATTTTTTTAATAAGATTTTAAATGATTAATTAAAAATAAATAATTAAATCATTTTCATTAATAGCTAGAAACATAGGTAGAATTTATTAGACTTAACCGTTGGTATTTAATATGATAATTAAAGATATCCGGAAAGCATAATAAAGGTAGGGCTAATGAAAGCGGGGCAAATAAGAGAGGGAGAAAAGAAGAAGTTGAGAATGAGAATGTTGGAAATTGGAAGGAGAAAAGAGAAGACCGAGTTTGCAACACGTGCATAAAACAGCCGTTAACTTAGCCATCCCAGGCAATCCAAACGGCGACTCCACCCATCCCAATTGCCATTACCAATTCGTAGGCCCCACCTCGCTTCCTTTTCTTTCTTTGTCTTTTTAATAATTCTTCTTCCTTTTCCTGTTTTTTTTTTTTTTTTTTTTCCCTCTTTTATTATAAATAAATTAACAAATCTCACCCTTGCATCGAGTGTTGTATTGACACACCACGCAGCACACACATGACACAACACAGCATCGCACAACCAAATGACACCCACAAAGAGGGAGACAAAGAGGGACGCTAGTCTCACTTTGCGTCTCTCGCTCGCGGAGCCCTGACCCCCGGAAATCCAGACAGACCCGTTTGCAATTCGCTTCTCTTTTCGCTAAATTCGTAAGCTTTTCTTCCATGGCTTTCTTGTTGTTGTTGGTTTTTTTTTGTGGGGTGGGTTCAATTGATGATTTTTTTTGGCTTTTGACCTTTTTGTTTGGTCTTGGAGATGAAAAAGGGGGAAAGGGTATATGGGGTTGCTGCCAATGTAAATTAGAAGTCACCTTTTGTTTTCATTTCTATTTCTCTTCTGTTGTTGATTTATTGGAGGATGAAAAACTTCGGGGTTTGATTCGTTTTATTTGTTTCTTAATTCGATGAATTCTTAAATTTTGCCCTTTTTATTTCTAGATTTTTATGCCGATTCAACTAATGAGATCTGGTTTTTGGATATGTAAAGTCTGGCTATCGTGTGTGGTTGGCTGTTGTCACTGCTTCCATGTTTATAGTGGTGTTTCTGATCTGTGTGAATGCTCTAAGTTTTGTGACAAATCATGATTGACCGAGAGGGTGTATATGATTTTGTGTGCACTTTCAATTAATGGGTTGTTAATATGCATTATTTGGTTGGTTATTTGATTGATATGGCATGCTCATGTCTTGTTTCTGGCTATTCTTTGTGGCATATGGGAAATTGGTGCTTTTTGGTTTCGTGATTTTAGCTTAAAATTGGCATATGTTTGTTGGAAGTACTTTTGTCATCGGTAAAGTGAAGTTGTCCTAGTTGTTGTTTTTAATTTTGATGGATGAGAAACCAGGCTTTCTTTGTGACCAGGTTGATTCTTTCCCGTCGACATGTTGGAGGGTCCAACCTTTCTTGTTTCGAGGGACTTACCGAGCTCATGTGAGCAAGAGACCAGGTGGATTTACAATTCCTTCTGTGTCATGGAGCTCGGGAACAGTAAACGTCGACTGGAGCTAGAGGAAGATGCTGTTGGGTTGAAAAAGTCATGCAAGCTTTCAGACCCTCATGAGGAAGGGGAAACAAAGAAGAATATCCAAGATCTTTCCCTGTTTGTTAACCAAGCGAATGACCAAAATCATGCAAGTGATCAGTCAGATTCAAGTTCGCTTATCTTTCAGCTTGGTCGGGACATCTCTATTAATTGTCTCCTACGATGCTCAAGGTCTGACTATGGTTCGATTGCCTCATTGAACCAAAGTTTTCGATCTCTCATCCGGACTGGAGAGCTTTATAGGCTGAGGCGCCAGATGGGTATCATAGAGCATTGGGTTTACTTCTCATGTAATCTCCCCGAATGGGAGGCATTTGATCCCAACACTGGTCGATGGATGCGCTTGCCTAGAATGCCTTCTAATGAATGCTTCATCTGTTCAGATAAGGAGTCATTGGCTGTTGGTACTGAGCTTCTTGTTTTTGGAAAGGAAATAATGTCACCTGTCATTTACAGATATAGCATCTTGATGAACTCATGGTCATCTGGTATGGAAATGAATGTTCCTAGATGCTTGTTTGGTTCTGCTAGCCTCGGAGAAGTTGCCATATTAGCTGGTGGATGTGATCCACGTGGCAACATCTTGAGCTCAGCTGAGCTTTATAACTCAGAAACTGGAACGTGGGAGCTTCTTCCAAACATGAATAAAGCAAGGAAAATGTGTTCCGGTGTATTTATAGATGGGAAATTTTATGTCATTGGCGGAATTGGAGTAGGTAACTCTAGGCAGCTAACATGCGGTGAGGAGTTTGATATGCAGACAAGGAAATGGCGGGAAATACCCAACATGTTCCCTGGGAGAAATGGTGGATCTGAGGCGATTGACGTATCGGCTGCTGCTGAGGCACCTCCTTTGGTTGCAGTTGTAAATAATGTATTGTATGCTGCAGATTATGCCCAACAAGAGGTAAGGAAATATGATAAAGACAGTAATTCATGGATCACTATTGGAAGATTACCTGACCGGATAGTATCGATGAATGGCTGGGGATTAGCCTTTCGGGCATGTGGAAATCGTCTAATTGTTATTGGTGGGCCAAGAGCTTTAGATGGAAGGGTAATTGAGATCAATGCTTGTGTCCCTGGTGAAGGTGAACCACAGTGGAACCTGCTTGCTAGCAGGCAATCAGGGAGCTTTGTGTATAACTGCGCAGTGATGGGATGCTAAGGTGTATGCTTTTGGTGAGTAGTGCTATATGGATTTCTTCTGAATGGAATTAACATTCTTCACTCTCAAGGAGATGCTTCTGGCTCATGGGTAATCTCTGCCCACTTTTTGGGGGTAAATGTTTACTCCTATTTAGAGTAATAGATACAGTTTTAGAAGGTTCACAGATCTGAGTCTTTTCATTTTAAATTATCATGATGGCTTGTCAAATGTTGGCACCGTGACTGGTGAATAATTAGCTCCTGGTACATGTTGGGTTGCAATCACCATTTTCATAAGTTCAATTGAAGCATTGCAGAATTGTAACTGGTCTCAGATTTTGTCTTTTTTGCTTTCTCTTGTCTTTTTTAAATATGTATTCTAATTGTCTTTGGATCTTCCCAAACCCTGTTTGCGTTGCCTGTATTTTCCACTACTTCTTTTCCTCATCCCCAAGTTGCAGAAAAAAAAAAAAAAAGTGACATAAAGACATTAATAGGAATAACCTTTTTCTCTGTCTTTTGAATTTTGTTTTAGTGATTGTTTCAGATCAACAGTGTTTAATTGCGCCAACTAAGCTGTATCATTCTGTTTGTCTCAATTAGAGACAGACAGAACTCAATCATGGTGTGAATCAATGATATGGCTGTCAGTTTAATTAACCATAAAGAGAGCCACAAATAATGGGTTTTAGACAGAAAATAAGGAGATTTGGGGATTTTGTTTAATTTTTTAACATTAATCATCAAGATGATGGCTGATGAAGTTGGCACTTACTGTCTTCAAAGATATAAAGCAGAGCATGGAGTCTATTTTGGAATGGACATTGATTGATGATACTATTTATATAATTCTAGAATTCGTATACATAACTTTGGCCGTTTGGTTTTCTTCAATGCTATCCATAGATCGTGCTTTTAGGACTTATTTGATTATTTTCAATGGAGTTTGTGCTGATAGGATTGAATTTGAATAATTAACATGATACAATAGCTGGTTTGTAAGCATAACTACACAAGAGTAAAACTGCAGTTAGTTATTTTGAAGAGAAAGTTCTTCTGTCTGCAATCTAAGCAAGCAAATTATACTATGTATCTATTAGGCTATTAGCATTAACCAGATAGAGTTAGTTCATTGAAAATACAATACTTTCCAATCTTCTGTGAATATTTAATTTTTCAGTTCGAGGTAATACTCAAGATATATTCAGTTTGTCCAGTTATGGGTGTTGTTTTATTACCCACTCAAGCAGCTTTTTTAATTATGTATAACCTGTTATGGCAGTTTCTTACAGCTCTATGATGGATGTTGGATTAAATGCCTCGAATAAAATGGCTGGTCGATTTGTTTATTTGTCCACATCTTGGTGGAAATATACTTATCATTGATGACGCACTTTCCTGTGTTGGATGATAATCTATTGTGCAAATTAGAAATTCTTTTAAGCTAATTAGTAATTACATTGAAAATAAAGAATACTTGCACAGACAATGTAAAAGTTTTACACTATCTATCAATCAAAGACTATTATATATAATCAGTTTGTTAATCTTTATAATAATTCTCTTAAAAGTTATATAAAAATGATTTCTGATTAGAAAGCTTACTTTACACTAACAATGCATGTCCTAAAGATTCTGCAGAATTTCTTATCTATTACTCACATGATAGTTCTTGATTTGCTGTTTCTGTTTTTTGGGTTTCCATGAATTCTTTTGACTTCCTCTTGATTTGCTGAATTGACCCCTTTGCAGTTAGCCGTTTCTTCAATCTAACAATATTGGTTTGTTTTATAGTAATCCAAGCACCAGATTGAAAACACAAATATTTTGAGTCAGAGAAGCAATTAGAATCTACTTGTGTGAAGTTACAGACCAAGAGTTTCACTAGCACACCCATATCTCTTATTTTCATTTTATTTCCTTTTCCTTGGTTGGCTGATTTGTGTGGGAAGAGCAACTCTGACATAGAAGAGATAATAAGTATATAGTTGTTGGAGACAATATGGGAAGTACAAATTGTACAATGCAACTATGCAAGTAATGGAAACAGATGGTGATGTGTGCCCCATCTACATGTGCACTGACCCATGACGGAACTGTTACAGTGCCACGTGGGTGGGGGGTGGTTGATATCATCTGATGCTTATCTCATGCTGCAACTTTTTCCCTCTACTATCGTACTCCCTTTTGTATTTTGTACTTCACTTTCTGGGGGCGCTGTTTCAGATTTTGTCTAGGATGATTCTTCAAATCTATAAGATCAGCAAAATAAAACAAGAAGAATAATAACAAACATGCAAAACACAGGAAAGAAGGAAATGTAGACAGAAGAACCCAAACCAACAGCAAAATTGTGTTGTGGTTGGACTCCAATATGTGCTCCGGACGTAGATTTTAATAGAAAGGGGGACATGGGCGAGGGTTATTGTTTTTTTTCTTCTTTTTTTGGCAACATAGATTAGAGTCTAAGACTATGAAACCTTGTTTTGAAGAATTTTTCCATAAATGCTTAAAGAAATTAAGAAGGGTTCTGATTGGATTTTTTTTACCAATAAAGAGAATGAAAATAATAAGGTAAAATAAAAATGCTCTCTTAATAAGTTTAAATTAGTTTATGTTAAGCTAATTTGTATAAGGGTTGGTTTGAATAGACGTATTTGAAACACTTTTAAGAAAAAAAATAGAAAGGAAAATTAAAAATTATTTTCATAATCAATTAACTTATACATAAGTTAAAAAAAAAAAACTTTTGAAGCAGCTAATATATGAAAACTTTTATGAACTAACTTATGTATATAAGTTAATTTAAGCTTACATAAAAACATCTTTTACTTTTCCTTGTTAATTTTTCTTTTTAATGGACTTTTGAGAAAGTTTATCCAAATAAGATCAAGGTAAAATGAATTCATTTTCTCAAATAAATTAAATTAATTTATACATATTTTATATAAAAAATATCTTGTCTAACTTCTTAGAAAACTGTAAGTTGATTTTAATTAGTGAAAGAAATGTAGTTTATTTAACTTGGTTATTTTCTTCTCTATGAATATTTATGAAAAGTTTATCTTTTTCGATACGTCATGAAAAGTTTATCCAAAATCTAAATAGGATTGAAGGAGTAATAAGATTTAAGAATTTCTTATTTGTTCATTGAAATTCAGTGTACTGTGTATCTCTGAATGAGATTCCTTTCTTTAAAATTCTTTACTTCGGTCGCAACTGTAATGATACCATGGCCCAAAACCCGTTTTACGAAAGGAAACTAAAAAAATTGTGGCCTTGTGTACAATTTGGAGAGACAGTTTTTAATGATTATTGTGTCTCCTTAGGGCAAGGAACGATGGAACAATATCGTTACAATGCTACAATGAACAAGGAACATGCAAAACTGGTGCATTTGAATAATGCGGAACCGTATTAGAATCATCAAATATTTGTATCTATGTGCCTTGATTCTCGAAGAAGTCTTGAAAATTTTCAAAATGTTATGACTACCAACGCAAAAATCCAATTAGATCACTGTGTTTTTAGACTTGTGTACATTTATTCCTTTTTTTTTCTTTTGTTATTAATTTTGCTTTTTTTTTGCCCGGCTGTCAAACTAGAAAGTGTTATCTTTTTCCTTTTTCTTTTTAACCTTTTATAGGGATAGGGTGAAATTTCTAAATTCTTATGCTACTTGTCCTAACATGTTCCTCTACCACTTGTCAAAATAATAAAAGTATTTGGTAAGGAAATATTTGAGTTTTTATATAATGTATTTGAATTTATAAAATAACGATTAAAAAAAAAGTATTTTATAGGAATTAAATTTTTATTTTTATTTTTATTTTACATGAATAAAAAATAATGTTTACAAAATTTAAAAAGATTAAAAACAAAGAAATTTTTTTGAGGAGATCAAAATCAATACTTCTTCATTTTATAAAGACTAAAAAAATATATATATATATATATATTTTATATTCTAAATGTAATTTAAATGTTAAAATAATACTTAGTTAACAAAAGTCACATCATGTGAATATAAATTAATCTTTCATTGTCAACTTTAAGATATTGCGTTAATCATGTTTAGAAAAAAAATTGTAACAAAAAATTTAAATAATATATAGAAGATATTAAACTTTAACTTCATTACTTTCAATATAAAAAAAATTGAGTGAATGAATGTTATACTAGACATAATAGCATGATTTCTATCAAATTACTTAAGTTTTTTCTATCTAAAATTTATCCAATATATAGAAAACACATAATTTATTATTGTTTCATATATATATATATATAATTATATTTTAGATATAATTATGCTTAACACGCAATCCACCATTAAATATAGATATTTTCCCCTCATTTATACTTAAATTTTGCATTTTAAATATAGATAGCTCAACACACATGAGACCATATTGGATTAGTTAGTGTTATATTACAGATTATTACAAGTCACTGATATACATGTATATATATATAGTTGTACACCTTCACTATGTCAGTATGCAATATCAGTAATATTCACAATATTCTTCTTGTTCTTTCAATTCTATCATGCTGATTCGAGCTTGATATTTCTTATACTATTTCATTATATAAATTATTTCTTTGTTGTTCAAAAAAAAAAGAATGTAAATGCTAAATTATCTTATATATTATCGTGAATAACTCATCAAAATCATAATAAAATATCAATAAAAATCTAAGTTTGAATATTTAAGAAATTAGTGCATCACTATACTCACTTGGTATGTTTACGAAATTGGGATCTTGAAATGAAATTGAATGTTTAGAATTTTAGTTAAATGTTAGTTGAAATCAAAATTTTAATTAACATTTAATTATAGATTTATGGAATTGTAATTCAATTAAAACTAACAATTTATTATTATTATTATTATTATTATTATTGTTGTTGTTGTTGTTGTTGTTGTTCACTCATCTCAATCCTTGTTAATATATCAACCCTATTAAACCATTAAGGTCGATTTAGTGGTGAGAGATTAAAATAATATACATAAGATCTTATATTCAAATTTTGGTGTTGTTTTTATAATTATAGCATATAAATTTTAAAAGCTTAAATATATTTTTAGTCCATCAAATTTAGGATAAATTTATTTTTGATTCCTAAATTTTAAAATTGTTATTTTTAATCTTATAAATTTAAAAAATCTTATTTTAGTCCTTATATTCAAACTTTGTTAAGAAATTTATAAAATATTATTAGATAAAATCTACTTATTAATGTTTCTATTAGTGAAAACATCACATTAAATCTAATTGATATTACATAACTGTCTTAATTTATCACTTTCAAATATGTTATTAGTGATCTAAGAAATTAAAACAAGATTTTAAAAATTACAGGATTAAAAACAACCGTTTTAAATTTGAAGAATTTAAAACAAATTTATCTTAAATTTAAGAAATTAAAAACATATTTAAGTCATTTTTAAATCACCCCTACTTAGCCCAAATATTCATTCTATTTTTGTCATTTGCATTACTATTATCAACATCACATCATCACTATTCTTATTGTAATCATTGTTCTCATCACTATTATCTACATCATCATTGTTATTACCGGTGTTACTACTATCAATATTACTATCATTATCCTTTACATCTAGATTGTTAAACTTTTATGTTACCATGAAGAGAGTTAAATCGGTAGTTTATTGGAAAGGGCTAATCAGTGATGTTAGGAGATTTATTCAACAATGTTCTGTGTGCCAGCAATGTAAATATGATAATTCTGTCACCCCTGGATTGTTGCAACCATTGCCTATACCTGATCAGATTTGGCAGCATATTACAATGGATTTTATAGAGGGCTTGCCTAATTCATTTGGTAAGCAGGTCATCTGGGTTGTGGTGGATAGGTTGAGTAAGGCTGCTCATTTCACAGCTCTATCACATCCATACACTGCATGAGAAGTAGCTCAGGCATTTATGGATAATGTGTTCAAACTACATGGGTTTCCTGATTCAATTACCAGTGATAGAGACCCTGTGTTTGTAAGTCAATTTTGGTAGGATTTTATGGCTTTCCAAGGAGTTCAGATTCAGCTTTCAACAAGTTATCACCCTTGAAATGAAATTGAATGTTTAGAATTTTAGTTAAATGTTAGTTGAAATCAAAATTTTAATTAACATTTAATTATAGATTTATGGAATTGTAATTCAATTAAAACTAACAATTTATTATTATTATTATTATTATTATTATTGTTGTTGTTGTTGTTGTTGTTGTTCACTCATCTCAATCCTTGTTAATATATCAACCCTATTAAACCATTAAGGTCGATTTAGTGGTGAGAGATTAAAATAATATACATAAGATCTTATATTCAAATTTTGGTGTTGTTTTTATAATTATAGCATATAAATTTTAAAAGCTTAAATATATTTTTAGTCCATCAAATTTAGGATAAATTTATTTTTGATTCCTAAATTTTAAAATTGTTATTTTTAATCTTATAAATTTAAAAAATCTTATTTTAGTCCTTATATTCAAACTTTGTTAAGAAATTTATAAAATATTATTAGATAAAATCTACTTATTAATGTTTCTATTAGTGAAAACATCACATTAAATCTAATTGATATTACATAACTGTCTTAATTTATCACTTTCAAATATGTTATTAGTGATCTAAGAAATTAAAACAAGATTTTAAAAATTACAGGATTAAAAACAACCGTTTTAAATTTGAAGAATTTAAAACAAATTTATCTTAAATTTAAGAAATTAAAAACATATTTAAGTCATTTTTAAATCACCCCTACTTAGCCCAAATATTCATTCTATTTTTGTCATTTGCATTACTATTATCAACATCACATCATCACTATTCTTATTGTAATCATTGTTCTCATCACTATTATCTACATCATCATTGTTATTACCGGTGTTACTACTATCAATATTACTATCATTATCCTTTACATCTAGATTGTTAAACTTTTGGTTCTCTTTTATAGCAAAAAAAAATTACACATTTTTTATTTTTAAATGTAATTTATTGTATTTAATAACATTTTTCCTAAAATATCTTTCCGAAAATGTATAATTATTTAATTATATCATCTTTTTAGACATTTATAATAATGATAGTTTAAGAAAAATATTGTGAAATTGATTAAATTTAATGTAATTAACTTGATTTTATAATGTGTGTGAAACTATTTAAACCATTTTTTTATAATATGTAAAAAAAATGATATATGTCACTACATGTATAAGAAAGTAATAAAGTAACGTCATTAGTTTAAATTGGATAGAAAGAGTAATATTGTATCATTTTTTAAAATGACTTTAAAATATATTTTAGTAAAATATTACATTAAACTCAATTAACAATTGATTCAATTTGTCCTTATACGTAATGTTATTGGTGGTCTTGAGAACTAAAATAAATTCTCGTTAGAATTATATGAGTAAAAAAAAATTGATTTTAAATTTGAGAAATAAAAAATAAATTTATTTTATATTTGAAGAACTAAAATTATATTTAAATATTTTATAAATTAAATCACTTAAGTTGAATTTTTTAATAATAAGGAAATCGATTTAAAAAAACTAAGACAAAAAAAATTAACCTAAAGTTATTTATGAGTCACAATATTATAGGCTTTGTGGGTCCTTAATAAGACTTTTATTAGAGCTATCAAAAGTGGATTAATAAAAATGTTTATTTAGCTTGATCTGATAAGCTAATTGGACTAGAGTAGGCCAATCATTTAGAAGCCTAAAACCTATTGAGTCTATTTATCTCAATATCTTTCTTGTTTTTCTTTATAAAATTAAACAAAAAAATAACATAAAATGAACCAATTTAATCCTACTCATCTGATCAATGGGCTACGTCAAATAAAAAAATTTTGTGACTCATTAAAAATTCACACCAACTCAATTCAATTTGCTTAACATGTGTTAGTCGGTCGAAGTTATGTTTGACACTTCTAACTTTTATAACTTTTATGTCTAAGCAATTAGAATTGTCGCTATTGTCTGATAAGTGTGGACTGAGAAAGGTTGTTTTTGCTCCAAACTTTAATTTTGTTAAATAAATAGTTGGCATCTTAACCGTGTGAATCGTGCTATATTGTTACTTTGTTTTTTCAAGGGAGCACAGAAAAGTGATGCAACTTGCAGTTAACTATACGAAGTGTGACACTAACTTATTGATCCACAATTGGTTATTCTATATCTAGGATTCTCGATGATATATGAAACCTTCTAGAGTGTCTGTTTACATCATTGAAACGAGTTACATATGGAGACAGCGAATTTCTCCCTCTGAATATAGGGTATCTTTTGTTTCATACTTGCATATAAATGGTTAACTTTATTTTATATATGGAAAGTACGGATAATTAAAGTAATTTTCACTTTGATTCCTTTTCAAACTGATGCTGATGTTAGTCTCATGATTGAGATCAGTGGCGGAATTTGAGTTACCATGTATGGGTATAAAATTGTGTTGCTATATATGTGAACCCCACAATTAGTAATTGAAATTTTTTTACCCCTGTTATGGTGGCATATATATATACTAAAATAATATATCAATATTGTAACAAATAATATATATATATATATTATATAATCCATTACTATATGTTTATTTATATACACCAGTGCAGAAATAAGAAACTACAACAAGATTTTATGTTAGTCGCAAAACAATTGACATAAAAAAAGTATTTTTTTTTTAAAGAGGGAGGATCCTTTTATTTCGGTAATAAATTTATATATCTAAACTTATTTTGTTGAATAACTTGTGTTTTACATCAAATTTTAACAATCCAATAATTGAATTTAAAGTTCTAACATAAAAATAATTATAGCATATAAATTTTAAAAGCTTAAATATATTTTTAGTCCATCAAATTTAGGATAAATTTATTTTTGATTCCTAAATTTTAAAATTGTTATTTTTAATCTTATAAATTTAAAAAATCTTGACCATTTGTCATTTTCTTCATAATTTTGCTCATTCAATTTGTGTTTAACAACACTTGAAGTTGGACAAAAATTCAGAGTTTCATACGACAAATGCTTATGATTGACTGGTCAACAATCTCAAAGGACCAAATGGTGCTCTTTTTTTGCAACAACCATCTAGATTCTATGAAAAGCTGGGAATGCATCTATATTTCAAGATAAATTTTGGGACCTTTGACGTATTGTTAGTCAAATCCAGACTCTTTTGGTAGATATTAAGAAAACATTTAACCATTAGAGACATCATTAATAAAGACATCTATTTGGATAAGAAGCACCTACATCTCATGCAATCAAATCAACATCGATGGGAATTTATTTAGTAACCCAACAAGAACGGGTTTTGGAGGTTTATTTTGGAACCATATGGGATTTGGATTACTAGTTTCTCTAACTCATGTGGAAATTCAACTTTTATAAAGATTAGATTGCTTACTCTCTTTCATGCTCCTGAGTCCTGACAGAGCTTGGAAGGAGGGTTGACATGCTATTTTATGTGATATAGATTCTACTATGACCTTAGAGTTAGTAGGGGATTACTTTCATCCTTACTTTTCCTTGATCATTACGATTATGAAATTATTGAAATTATCAAGAGTGTCACCTTACAACAGACACTATATAAAGTTAGTTCATGGATCGACTCACTTGTAAAATATGGTTGATCATGATATTTCTTTTTTAGCATTGAAATTACTATCCACCTCAACTAACTTCTCTATTATTTGAGGTTGTAATTTTATTTCTTACTTACCTTTTATAATTCTTACTCATCAATATTTTTTTTTCTTGCATTTACTAGCATGGTTCCTTTAACAATTAAGACATACAATAATATGAACAATACACGATAAACATGTGTTTTCATAATGTAAAAAAAAATAAAATTGTGAATACATAATGACATATGAGTTTTACAATTCATGTGTGTTTTTTTATATGTAAATATTAATATGTTTGCCACCATGTGCAAAATGAAATTTTATTTAAATAAAGTATTTTTTTATTAGTAAAGGTGTACATATAACTTATTTTTTTTTACCAAGTTAACACATATGGTAATGACATGTACAAAAAAAAAAATGTTTACGTGTTGCACCAATATTTATACATTAGACAAAAATCAATATTTAATTTGAGAATATTTTTAAGAACTTTTTAAAATGAAAATGTTTTTAATTTTTTTTACTCCTTACTTAAATTGATTTTTCTTTATCATAATTATTTATAAATTAAATTTTAATATTTTAAAATAAATTATCAATAAATAAAAATAATTTTACACTATAATATAAGTTATTCATCTTAAATCTAAAATATAATTTATATATTTAAAAATAATTTTTATTTATCATAATTATTTATGAATTAAATTTTCATATTTTTAAATAAATTATCGATAAATAAAAATAATTTTATGCAACAATATAAGTTATTTATTTATTTATCATATTTATATAAATTTTAAATATAATTTATATATTAAAATATAATATTTATTTACATATATAATTTATTATAAATTTTAATTATATGATAAACATTTAGCCTTTATATTGTACCAATTAAAATGTTAGTATTACATAAGTTTCAAAACAAAGCTAAATTTATTTATAAGAAAAAAGTTAAAATTCTATTTTGGTTTAAAAACAAGTTAAATTTCTATGTGAAATACTTTTATAATTAAGATGAAAATATTTAAAATTACACTAGGCTAAAATAAACCTTGTTTCTTTCTCTCCACGAAACCCATAAAACCTTCTAGCTTTCTATGTCATGAATTCATCTTTATAGTTTCATCCTCACAGTACCGGAGGCTTCATTTTTGCAGTGCTCTAGATTGTTTTTTCAGGTTTGTTTTGTTCTTAATTCTTTGTTTGTTTTTCTATTTTTCATATGTGAATCTGCTTTCCCCAGGACCTGTTACTGTGATGCTTGTGGACCTAAGTATTATTTATTCATTCCCCTTTATATGAGGTTTTCTCTATTCTCTAGTAGGAATTTTCTCTTTGCGTGATCTGAATTACACACTTTTTATTTGTTCATGATGCTTCACATTGCGAAAATATTCTGTTTGCAATATATTTGATTTTTTTTGCCCACAAACCGTTTGATGTTTGGTCTGAATCAAGGAACAAGACTTTGCCCACAAAATGTGATTTAGGGATCTCACTTTTATTTTTGTAACTTGCCAACAAATAATTTTTTGTCCACAAAATGTGATTTAGGGGTCTCACTTGTTTTTGTCACTTGCCAACAAGCAATTTTTTGTCCAGTATTCACACATTGATGCGTGCTTGTAGCATTGATATGGGCATTAATATCCATATATTTATGGTACATACTTGGATCATGGATCCAATCTACAATTCAATATGCTAAAGTAGAAAACTTTCATCCACCATCATCAATTTCCTGGTACCAAGATTCTTTTTCTCTGTCATCAATGCTTTATTCCTGTAAGCTTTGTTTGAGTTGAGTCCCTCTTCATTGGCTGGAAGCTCTACCTTATAAGTGTTTTTCCCCCCATGTCCATTCTCTTCAGAGAATTCAACTACTTTCGGAAGTAAATCATAGTACATCAGAGAGTTCAACTATTAGCAGCTGTTTGTGTATTCTTGTTGCCTAATTAAAACCCTAGCCATGACTGTATCACAAGGCTTTTGTTGCCATTGATAAATCTGCAATGCTATGCAGGTAGCATGAGCATCATGCTCACATGTAATGGTATTTACGTGTTGATTCTCTATTTATAGGAATAGTAGAAAGACATGACTATATGCATTTATAATTTATCCATCAAAATATGTTAGTCAAGAATACAATACTTTCTTTATTTTAAAAAGAGATAAGAATTGCTGCAGTGAATCTTTAAATATCCGTAGGAACGAATGATACTGTTATTGAGGCACAACAATGGACAAAACAAGTTTAGCCCGGCTTTCAATAAAGACTGCAATTGAACATTATTTGGAGTCAGCTGATCAATTACACATTTTGGCATGCTCACAATGAATTTTGTGACTTCTAGATACACATTCTTGTTTCCTAAATTCCTCCTTGTCTTTTACCCCTATCTGTGTGTTTTATACTAGGCTTGCTTCATTTTGGATATATATATATAGTCAAATAAGAGTGCAACGGTGCAAGAGTGGGGTATTAGGTGGTCTTGGGAGTCTTAGGATTACATAATAACATAATGTTGAATTTGTAATTAAGGAGTGAAGGTTAGTTGAACACTAATTTCTTTTTGCTTTATGAAGCTTCTTCTACATTTATTCAAAAGGGATTTTAAACTGTCAATTATTTAATGTCCAATTTTGTAACAATCTTGTGCCTTTGATTAGAAAAACTAGTTCTGTGAAACAAAACCCAGCTTTGAAGTCGTTTGAAACCAGTCTTATAGATGGTTTTTGAAAAATAAGAATTTAAAAACTGGATTATAAATGGGTTTGATTTTATGCCTAACCTATCGATGCACATCCCTGCTTTTCTCTCTAAGGCTGTTGTTGTAGCTAAAGATCGGTCTTCTCTTTGTGTTGAAACCCACAATTCAAGTCACTTATGGTTAATTCAATTTCAGGTCCAATAACTCTAAATTGTCTCATTCACAGAGAAGAAAAGTCCAAGTTTGTGGATTAGAAGGGGTTCATTTCGTTCATTCTCAAGCTATGGTATGTTAATATTTGTCTTTCTTGTTTCTACCTATTGAACTTCTTGTTTGGTTCTATATGGAAAAAGAGAAGTGAAGAAATTTGTTTATTCTTTGTTTAGCTTTTCTGTGCATAGCATAAAGGGAATTATAATTCTTCCTTTCGATTTTTATCAGTTATCTAATGAGATTTATTTATAGGATTATGGATTGGGTTCTATGCAGGTATACAATTTTTAAGAGGGTGTTTCTATTTTATTGTTTAGCCAACTTAGATTGATTTATTTTCACCAACAGTTATTTGAATTTTACATTACCCTGAAATTTAGGTTGTGCTTCTTTCCCTTATGATCTTGAGCTTGCCATTTGTGCATAATTGTGCCATTATTTCCATTTGGGCATGGCTCAGTTTGTTGGGGGAGTCATAGGTTCAGGAGAGAGACATAATAGTAAATTTTTTACATATGTATCAAAAGGAAAATGAAAAATGAAAGAGGAGAGTATTGATTGAGGATGTGGTCTTGCAAGTGAGCTTAACCTGCTATATGTAAATGGTCTTGTAGAAATTTCTGGAACATTCTCTTTTTCTTGCAAAACTTTAGCTGAATTATTTATGCAGGCCTCTAAGATCCTTGCAAACTTGATTGTGATGGGAGGAGGAATATTGGCAAGAGCATTTGCTCAGGCATATCGTCAAGCACTTGCTAGTAAGCTTGTTAAATTTGTGCCTATAGATAGATTTGTGTAACAAGTATAATATTATGTGCTAATATTCCATTCTGTGATGTATAGGTGTTGGGTTTAATTATTTCTGTTTTTGTGAACGATTGAACATATGCCACATGGAAATGTTGGTTAAATTATTTTCCAGCACCAAAATAATTTTATCACTTAATTTACAGATGTTCAGCACTTCCGATTCTACATTTCTGTTTAGAATTTAGTAGCTTAGTATGTTATCTAGAGATTTATGGGAATTTGTTAGGATCCAATTGTAAGGTATAGGACTTTAGTCTCACATTGAAAGTATGGAATCTAGTATGTGGTTTATAAGGCTTTGGGCTCCCCAACTACAACAACTAGCTTCTGTGATGTGGTTCTCCCTAGTGGCAGACCTACGTACAGCCAAGGGGGTGCATTCGCACCCTTTGATTTTAAGGATAGTATATGTATGTGCCTTGCGTTGTGTTATTTGCCTCCTAGAAATTTATATTTTGAACCTACTGCCCCTAGTTTCTGAATTGTTGTTAAATTGTCTTTTATTGTCTAGTTTCTTTCTTATATTTTGTCTCTTTTCAGCTCATTTTTCTAAGTGTTTTTCCTTTTTTATGTAATATTTATATCTTGATTTATGTATATATAATATATATATATATATATATATGTATATAATTACTTTATTTTTTTTAAATAAACTGCCCCCACTTACTCAAGGTCCTAGGTCCATCACTATTCTCCTTGTGTTCTTATCACTTGGTATTAGTCTTTTATCATGTTTCTCAGCTGCAAACGAGTGGGGTGGCTGGTGATGCCAGCATTGCATTGTTCATCCAAGACTAGTCAAAGAGCTAGTGCATGACTAATTTGCATGGGTGTTGGGGTCACAAAAGCATGGTGGGATACTAAGATCCAATTGCGAGGTATAAGACGAGTTCCATATTGGAAGTATGTGATTCTAGTGTAAGGTTTATAAGGCTTTGAGCTCTCCAACTACAATAGTTAGCATTTGTGGTGTGGTTCCCGTTCTCCCAAGGTTCTGATCAGAGTTATATATTGCTAAGGGGTAGCATATGGTTTCATGGGCTTCCTTGGGCAATAAAGTTGACAAATTTGAATCAGTACATGGGAAGCTTTCAGAATGAAATTTTCAGTGCATTTGGTTTGCATATATGGTATGTGAAGCCCTCATGTTCAGACATTGTCAAATGAAATCCTGGTTTCATGGAGTAGGTTACATGATTAGGTGTGATGGATAGATAGATTTGCTTGTGGAGGTTCTATATCTGAACTCAAACAGGCCGACAAGATTTTTAAAAGGAAAAAAAAAAAAAAGGAGTTTTGTAGGATTCTTTAAAAGGAGATTAGTTGTAAATGCAGTGAAGACCAGGATTCCTGGAAAATGCTAACTAATGAAGGGCATGCTAATTCCAAACACTCACAGAATTGCTAGCAGTTAAACTGTAAAATGAAGAGAAGTGTAACTTACGAGATAGAGTGAAAATTGATGGCTTGGCTCGACTCTAGTTTCATTGAAGAGAAAATGTTTTAATTACCTTGTGAAGTCATGCAGCCATTCAAGTCCTTGAAATTAATTTCTTATCCTTTTTCTACTTGGTTACCCTGCATTATAGATATGGTTTTTTTGTTCATTTTGGGAGAACCATTACATTAGTTAGGCCTTCTTGTGTATTCTGATTCTTTTATTTATCTTTATCAACTTACCCCCTATTCACCAGAACCTTATTTCTAAGATTACACGCCCCATGCTTAACATTGTTTAAGAACTTCCATTTAACATTTTTTAAAAGCACCCATTTTAAGGAGAACCTCATAACACACGAGCCGCTGACCTAAATTTGTTTGTTTCTGAACAATATTATTTTCTTTTGTTCTCTGTTCTGAAAAATAGAGCATTTGATACTTCTCCGATAAGTTTACCAAATTAGCTCCTTCATTCGCCTAAATTTCATGGTCTTTGTCCAGTACCATAAGTATTTTCTCTGATACACTTAACTTGTGTTAGGTTAGGTCCATAGTTTTTCTTTCTCATAGCGGCTCTATATCTTCTCATTATCTAAACATTATGTTATATTATTCCAGATGCCTCAAAAAATGGTGTGGCGCAAGAGACGATTCAAAATACTGTCCGCAGAGCTAGCACCAGGATGACAGAGAAGGAGGCTCGGCAGATTCTTGGTGTTACTGACGAAACCCCATGGGAGGAGATAGTGAAGGTTAGCATATCATATGTTGTTCTGTGGTTATATTACCCTTCTTTTCTTTGAATGCAGCCTTCCCTGAAGTGACAAAAATACTTTTGAGTAAAAAAGAACGTTCAGATTAGAGAAAATCATGGACCAATATTATGATAAAATACATGCTCATATATTAATTAATATATAACAACGCTAAAGTTACTCTTGATTCTTCAATTAACAGTTATAACTTCACATTTATCTTTCTAAAGTGCATCCTTTGCTTCAGAAGAGTTGAATTCTTGTTATAATAGTTGTTTAAACATATTTCTTCCGTGCAGAAATATGGCAGTTTGTTTGAGAATAATGCCAAGAACGGGAGTTTTTACCTCCAGTCCAAAGTTCATCGGGCCAAGGAATGTTTAGAGGCTGTCCATCAAAGCACAAATCCGGGTACCCCTAGTTGAGAACTTAATTTTTCTCCCTCTTATAACCCATGTGTAATCATTTTGGTCACTGAGTTGTAAAGCTTGAGGAAAAATGCTAGGAGCACATTATTTTTAATACATTTTTTATTATTAATTTTGGGTTTAGAAAATTATAATTTTGTGAGTCTTATTTAATTGATATTATTTATAATTTTGTAGTTTCTAATATATTTTAATTAAGTCTGGACAAAAGTCTAAGTGCCCCAAACCGCTCCATAATTGCTTCAGTCTAAACTATTTTAAATCTATTTTGGTGGATCAGGTTTTAATGTTGAAATCTAATTTTTAGGTTCGGAGTACAATTTTTATACAATAAACAGTCTCACAAAAACCTGTAATCCGCATTTCAATTTCAACTATATTGTTGAGTTGTCATGTTACTGGTTTCCTCTCCAGTTTAAAAAAAAAAGAAAAAATTAAATTTGGAGATGGTCCGGTTAAAAAATCTCATTGTTGTTCATGCGTTCTTTATACTAGTGCAATAAAGGCACATGTGCCTCTATGTATTTTAAAAAAATAATAAAATAAATGAGTGGTTTATCTATAATCTATAACATATTTAAATTTGGTATCTATATATATATATATATATATAGAGAGGTTATAATTACACCTGTGTAACTTTTACGAAGTGTTGCACCACTTAGATGAGAAATTTTAAAATTATAAGGAATTTTAAATGCTTAAAATTTAAATTTGTTTAGCTTAATTTTCCTTATATTTTAGACACTTAATTTATACAATGCAGAATAATATTTGTGCAAAATTTAATTTTTGGATATCTTTTTTCACACCATTTTTAGATATATGTTTAAAATTTTGAAATTTAAACATTAGTCAAATTGTAAATATTTAGATTTAATTACTCTCATTTGGCCCCTCTACTTGTTGGATCCTCTCTTATCTCTATTTCTCTCTCATCCTTTCTATTTTTATTCCAACTTGAGGCTCCTTGTCTCTTGTTTTCTCTCTTCTTTATATGTTTTTTGCTAGAGGTATGAGGGGATCCAAGTTCCTATGTGAACAATCTTCACTTTTTAGTTTCTATACTTAAAATCATTTGTTTTAGTTTTTGGACAAATATTTTAATTTTTTTTTGGCTTTTTCCAGTAAATAAAAGTTAACATAGTTAATGATAACTAACATGACATTGAGGTGTGTTGACATATATTGTATTTTACAATTTAGTTCTTATACTTGCTTTATCTTTATATTTTGGTCTTTACGCTTAGAAACTACAAGTTTGAGTCTTTATACAAACAAAATCTTTTAATTCCTCTTAAATTAACTAATTCTCACTGACACAAAATTATGGTAAATACTTGCTACATTATTTTAATTTTGTTGCATAAAACACTTAAAAATATATGATACATTAAATCCTTGATATGGATCATTTTAATCATTTTAATGTTGCAATATCAAGTGCTTAGATATTCAAATGACTACTATATAAGCATTTTTTTTAACGTTTATATATCATTAATAGATTTATAACTCCATTAGCTCTAAGTTCTTTAACTCACGAAAACAAATTTGATGATGTAAAATTGCTAAAAAGAAAAAAAAAATCAATGTTAAACTGCCAAAAATTTGAAAATGAGAATGTTTCCACTACACTTAGCCTTCAATTTTTATTTTTATTTTTTTATTTTATAACATTGCATGACAGAAGGATATTATATGATCTAGAAAATGACTTATTTTATTATAACAAAAGAGAATTTTTAAAACAGGATGTTATTAATTAAATACACAAAATCTTTTTATATAAAGAAATCTTTTAAAATTCTAATCCAATTCGCCCTAAAAAAAGATTTCTCTGGATTTTAAAAATACAGCTTCATTTCACCTACCTTCTAATTTATGGCAAATTAATCATCACTTTATTAGTTTTGAAACTAAATGTATTTACTGTGAAAATCGCCTCTCCCTCTTTCTCCTTAGGGAAATGAATTCCAACCACCCATTGTTATTATTTATGAGATTTCATACTCACTTGGGGCCTCATACAGTTGTGCGAAGCCTAGAAAGCTCCATTTTTATCATTTATGAGATTTCGTACTCAATTGATCGAGACCTCATCATTATTTCCAAAAAAGAAACCCATACACCAATTTATTGAAGACTTAAAAGTTCTCTTTGCTGTGATGAAAATCAATATATCCAAATCCTTTGGGTGAAAAGTACAATAATTAAATGCAGCATATATGTTCCCGTCTCTCAATTGCTCAAGGGCTTGAGTGATCCTTATTTGATGCCTTGTTCTATCATAGCTATGGCATTTAGGGTGTTGTCCCTGCTTGGCTATTGCAAAGACACAGAGTAATTATCGTATTTGGTAGGATAGCACTCCAAAGAGTAAACGATATAATCCATATTCTACAATGAAATTAAAACCACTTCTTTTGGTATGCACATAATCAAAAGCTTTAATAGCCATTTCATTGGATCGCCCCTTCATCACACTTCCTTCCTCAATAACATGTGAGTTCCGAATTTTTAAAAATGGAAATCTCCGAATATTAATAATTTAACTAATCCTTTTATGTCAAAACTTGTTGACATAATGAACGGAAAAATATTACTTTAATGGACATACTTACTCAAAGAGATCATTTGACTTAGGAGTGAAATTTTTTTAATGAGGTTCTACTGACCTTTAATTTGATAAGTCATAGGTTAATGTAGATACCACTAAGCTTTAGCTAACCACTAAATGACAATTATGTTTGGTTTGAAAATTTTCAACATGTCATTGACTCCCAAAGTTAGATTATTTAATCTAATAATAACTCATGTAATTATGAAATGATTTAATGAAAATATATCTAATGTGATGGTTGGTAGACTTAAAATGTATTAAGAGTTATTGAGAAATAATTTTAATAACTTTAAAATAATCTCTAACGACTCTTAATACATTTTAAGTCTAAAAACAATTACATTAAACATATTTTGTATTAAAAATCATTCCATAATTATACGAGCCATTATTAGATTAAATAATCTAACATATTTGTCATCCTTAAAAAAGAAGACAGTTAGGAAACTATCACAATAAGTCCTTAGCGGTCTATTTATACTATCAACAACACTAAACACTGAAGTAAAGTTTCACAACCATAATATTTAAATCATGACCTCAAAGCATGCCACAAATTCAACCTCCATGGTACGTAGAAGTAATACTCACGATTTGTTTTGCACTTTTCCATGATACAGGTCCTCCTGCAAAAAAAAAAAAAAAAGATGTACTCAAATGTAGATTTCCTCGAGTCCACGAATCTAGCATAGTCTAAATCCAAATATTCAACTACTTCAAGATGATCTAACCTCTTATATGTTAGCATGTAATCCTTTTTGTCTTAGAAACACCTAAGATCTTTCTTTACGGCTTTCTAGTAATCCATTCCAAGATTGCTTTGATAGTAGTCCAACACTCCTACGACAAAGTTATTATCTGGTTGAGTACTTGTTTGAACATAGCTTCCAACTATTGATGTATAAGGGATATACTCCATTTCCTTTTGTTCCAAGTCATTTTTGAGACATAGCACATAAGAATGCATTTTTATTAACTTTAAAGCCTTTAAGGAAAAATAATAATTTAATCATGTTCTAAATTTGATTCAGTTTTTTTATTTATTTCATTTTACTTATAAAAAAATATTCCTATATATCTCACTTTTAAGTTATTGAGAAATGATTAAGTCATTTTTTCTTTATTTTTTATCAATAAAAAACATTACAATGAAAAATAACTTGATTTATTGTATATTATTTCAACTCCTTATCATTATGCCACCGTTAGTAGCATTTTTATAAACTTTAAAACCTTTTAGGAAAATAATAATTTAATTACATTCTAAATTTGATTCAACTTTTTATTTCATCTTACTCAGAAAAAATATTCTTATATATCTCACTTTTAAGTTACTTAGAAATAATTAAGTAATTTTTTCCTTATTTTTTTATCAATAAAAAATAAACTTGATTTGTTATATATTATTTCAACTCCTCATCGTTAAGCCATCTTTAATAGCTTTAAGTGATATTTTGATGAAATCATCTTACGCAATCTTTTAGCAAGTAGGTGTTCAATAAATTAAATAAGGGGTTGAATTTGAATTGACCTAATATGCGAGGGTTTTAGACCGGTTCAATTAAACTTGGGATACAAATCCTAATCAATAATATTCCCTGTGAATTAATAAAAAAAAAATATTACATACAATAAATATTATGAATAAAAAATTATCATTATAGATATAATATATAATAATATAAATTTATTTTATATATAATTACACACAATTTTAATATTAATTTTAAATAAAATTTAATAATATATATTTTATATTATTATAAATTATATTTATATTTTTTAATAATATATCAATATATATTATATTTATATTATATATAAAAATAATTTTTAATAATAATTATTGTGTCACTGTAATATATGTGTAACTAATATTATAGTGTAATGTAGAGGTGTTAAAAAAAGGTCAATTATAACTGGTTAAATGTTATAAAAGGAACAAATAATAATCTTTTTAAATGCTACTAATATTATAATAAAATGTTGATATAATAATACTACTTGTTGAAAGGGCACATGTTGAAATGTAGCCCACATAAATCATAACTTTTTAGTTTAAAAGTAATTTTTAAGGTACGTACTTAAATTTAAAATACTGCTAAACTTTAATTATTTTATGGTGATATGATTGGATTCAGCATACACACTATTCAGGAATAATAAAATATTCTTTACCACGCAGACATATATAGTTATATACTATTATACTTCATCAGCCACTTTCCCAGTTTTTTTTATTATAAAATCTTATTTCTATTTAGTTTTCATTTTAAAAGTACAAGACAACATTAATTATTTTTAATTATATTTTTATATGTTATTTGATTTTAATTAATTTACACATTGACAACTGATATATATTTATTAGACAAAGAACAAAATAGAATATAATAAAAATCTTACAATCATTTTAAAAGAATAAAAAAAGTTATTATATTTTTTTAATTTATGTAAAAAAAATGGAAACAACTATTAAAAAATAGGAAAGTTGTGGCTAATAGACAA